TTTAATCTTCATAGTTACGGATGTGGGGGCTCGCATTTAAAAATAGTTACAAATACATAAAAATCTTATTTTTGGCATATTTACAATAGAAATGATTTGCAACATTTTTGTATAAATATCTTAACACCACCATCTTCTAGAGGGAGATGGAGGGTGTGGCATCCCCAAAAAATCAAATTAGAACTTAAAAAAAAAAACAGTTAAAATCTACAATTTTTTATACATATAAACCAAAATTTCAATTTTTAGATCAAATTATTAAATTAAATTATTTTTTTAATTTCTTTATTATATTTAATATTATTTCGACTTTTTCTAACAATAATCAATTTAAGATATCTACTTTGATTGAGCCAAAATATTTACTAGGGGAAGTTTTTAATATTATACAAACATACTGTGTGTCCAAAAAAAATATATGAATTTGGCTAAACATTAACCTTTATTTCTAAAAACAGGAGAACAATGTTACTTGAAAAATGTATCTAGAATTAATATTATCCACCATCAAATCCTGGACCTGGACACAATTTTTTTTTAGCAATACGGGAGAAGCGGAAGTGACATTTTTACAAATGAAATTAATTTCAACAAATTTATTTGAGATCATGTACAAAATTATTCACTATTAAAGACACCTTTTATAACCACTATTGCATATTCAAAAAAAGCTTTAAATAAAAGTTTGTGAATATGACTGACTTTTTTTAAATATACCATAAAAACTCGTATTCAGATTTCACGGAATACAACACAAATAAACTTTTTTAAATGGGATACCCTCTATGTTATTAAATTTCTGGGATATTTTTTTTCTAATTTCACAAATGTATATTATTGATAACCCTATCTTATACCGTCTGTTCTCGAGTAATTTAACGTTGATAATGTAAACATTATTAAAGTAAAAGCTATGAAAATCACAACTATTATGTTTGATAATAAAATAATCCAAATAGGTAGTTTACAGTGAGAAAGAAAAAGTGTAAATATTTATAAGATATTCGACATAGATTATCTATTATATTCGACGTTTAATTAATCAGGAAAGAATAAAGATCATTTCGAAAATTGAATAAAATATATATCTATGCTATCCTTATTAAAAAATATTCATGTTAAATCCTGTGAAATATGCACACCACTGATATGGTCATTTGATGACATTTTTACAAAATTCGGTCAATGTAAACATTATACAATAATAATTATAGCATAAAGGGAGGGTAATTTATAATGAATAACCCTGTTAGGTACCATAAATTTTTATTAAAAAAATTTTAATTCGCACTTTTTTACGTAGATTAAAGAAAAATGTAATTTTGTGCGTTTTCTTGGTGCAGACATTTTGCGACACACTGTATATTCAAATCCAAAATGATGTATTTTCTTTTAACACATACCTAATACAAATTTATTAGCAAAATTTAAATACTTGTTATTTTCGGTATATTTCTCCTTTAGACACACACATTTTTAGTTTCATTGTCAAAAGATTTAAATAAAATTACCTGACCTTATAATATTCTATTATAATTTGATTATTAACGTAAAATTAATGTTTTGAAATTAATTTAAGTTTTACCAATTTAGAAAATAAAATTAAATAATAAAAAAAAAGTATCCACTCGGGGGGTGTGAACTCGGCACCCTTCGATTCGTAGACAAGTACTCTAAATTTTCGTTATGAAGGCTTATTAAAAAGTTTTACTTTTTAACGCTGATAATCAGACTGCTTTTAGTTTATTTCTAAATATAGACGAATATCTTGTGGAATGAGATTATTTATTGATTCTTTACAAGAATCACTAATTTTTATTTATATTTAATCTAAATAATTAAAAAAAATATATACTGACAATTAATTTTACGGAATTGTCACTTATAAAGTTCTAACATCTAACGTAAAGGGCGTATCTAACCAGTAAATAAAATTGTTAGTTCAATGATTGTACCAATAGATGGCGGGCGCGATTGCCTCCAATTACTTTTACATGGCGATTATCCTACTATAGTTCTTTATACAATGGTGAGAGTGGGTCTCAAGGGTTTGGACTAGCCATTTAGAACCTATTTTTTTTGGGGCAGTTTCCGATTATTATTAGTATTATTTGAGGTAGTTTACAATTTATTTCTAAACAATTCTAGAATAATATCTGAATCTGGCGATTTGGATTACGTAGCCATTTGGATATTGTTTTGGGGTAGTTTCCTCTTATTTTTATTTATATTATTAAAGGTAGTGTATACAAAGTTTAAAGTGTGTATGTTTTTTCTAAGTTGTAGAATTCTCCCGTATACGCTGCATTTCTGTAATTTAATTTTTTGCGATGTCCAGTTTTAAATTTCTTACATACCTAAATTTATTAGGCTTAAAATTTATTAAATTGTATTTTACTGACTTGCTATAAGACGTTTCTTGAGTTTTGTTAGATGTTTTCGGAAAACCCGGAGAAAATCATATGGGAAAAAAATTAAAAAAAACTACTCTTCCGGTTTCCTGCGAATTCCCAAAAAATTATGGCAGATTTCGCCGCGGGACTTATTTTATTTGAGAGCCAACAAAAAAATACGCAACTTCTCTCATGGGCACATATGTCTAACATTTATAATTTCGCCACAAATTCTTCGCAAGTTTCATATCCATGGTTCTAATCAAAGAAACGACAATTCAACTTTTTGGTAAAAGCACTTCTGGCGGCGAGAAATTCGCCATTAAAACTACCTGTGCAATGAATTTCCGAACTATTTTTTTCCTCCTCTTTCGATTGGTGCATTTATTTTTACTATCGCAATGATACTTGCCCAGATAATTAGCATTTTTACCATGGAAAATTTCGGAAAACCCGGTTTTTTTTAAATTAAAAAATATTGAACATCAAAATACATAAGGTCCACTTTGTTTCATCCAATTACAAATTAATGTAAACTCGAAGGGGCTTTTTTTCGTTATTTAATTGGACTAATATTATGTGATCTGAAACAACACTAACAATAACGCTGTATATCCCATTAGGTCCATAATTTGTAAAAATTTGGTCAATTGTAGCCGAATTTATTGAAACTCTAGTGGGCCTCCTTGTGGCACATTTTAAAACATTCACTGTTTTTAAAAATTCGTTACTTTCTCTATTGTACGAATCAGCATTAAAATATCCATACAAAAAATAATAGCACCAGATTTAAAAACTTTACATTTTCTGATGGCGACCTGTAGCAGCTCAAAATAATTGTATAGCCTACATTTCTTTTGTGTTGTTTCTAAAGCGATCTACTTTATCAAAATAATTCTGTTTCTTTTTTATTTTTAAAAGATTAACTAAAAATGTGCCACTTATTATTATTATTATTAATTTTCAGGACTCGGTTTTAATATCTTGTAAACTTTATTCCTATTTTTAATTTTATTGTGTACCTCATAGTCAAATCAAGGTAATTTTTATAAGTTTCAAATATCTTGTAAATAAAATTAACATTAATAGAGTCCAAATTAAAATGGCTCATAAAAAAGACTGGTTTTTGAATATTTAATTATTTTTTTAAAGTGTTTTACATTCTTATAAAGTTTAGTACTGTTGCAAACATTAACAGAAATTGTAGAATTCATTTTTGGAAATTTATGTACATTGGTCATTGTATTATCATAATTAGATGATTATGTGATGTCTAGTGTATTACTCGTATCAGTAACCCGAGTAGATTTTTTTTGTACATTGAAGTATACAGTATACCATAAGTTTCTATAAGATTTTTTAATTTGTCACCATAAAAATATCCAACTAATATTTAACAGTGATTAGTGGAAAATAAAAATCACAAATTGATTCAGAATCTTCAATAAATTTTGAATCTAAACTTGATGGTGAATAGTAAAAGCACCTAACTAGATAGCACATATTTATAAAATTAATTTTTCCTACGACCACTTAGGAAAGTGACACATATCACACTATATAGTCCTATGGAAAGTGCCCTATATCACACGCGTATAAATAAGAATTTACTTTCCACCCGTGTACGAATATGTTACTTTCCGCAGTAGCTGTCACAAAATGTCAAACACCTAATTTCTATTTTGATCTATGTAATGCCCATATTAATACTAAAATCGATATGATTGTTAAATTATTGAAATTGTTGCAAATTAGATCCTAGATATTTATCTTTAACAATTATTATTAAAATAATTTTAAAATAATGTTTGCTTTTTATTCTGGTTAAATACATAACCGATTAGATCATTCAATTGACACAAGGGCTATTAGCTCAGTTGGTTAGTACGTCAAACTTATCAACTTTGCTATTTGAGACCCGACGAGCGACCGCGTTCAAATCCTGGCGGGGCCAGAATTTTTTTTTTGTTTTTTTTATTTCTTTTTTTAGAAAATATGAAAATTAAGTAAATACGATTATTGTTGATTATTTTTTTAAATACATTTTAATTATTATAGTAATAATAACCTTGGTTTTACATTTTTTGATGATATTATTTTGTGGTCGTAGGAAAAATATTGTACATCACTTGTGTGAAAAGTGATTTTCCACACTCGTGTAATAGTCGCACTTGGCTTGTGCCTCGTACGACAATATTTCCCATTCGTGTGAAAAATGTCACTTTCCACACTCGTAATGTAATATAATTACACCAATAATTGTATCGTAGATAAAACGTTTTGAAAAATATAAAATTATAATTATTTTTCACATAAATTATCAACCACACATGCCAGGATCACTGAATAGTTAAATTATTTTTTAGATTTTTCGCATTTTCCTTATTTTAAACTAAATTTCAATTTTATTTACTTCGATACTATATTTCTCAAAAATATATTTAAAATCTAATAGGTAAATAAATTAGTTACTTATCTGAGATATCACAAACCACTTTTTGCACACATCCGCGATCTACAGGTGTACAAACAGTTGCTATGAAAAGAGATGGAATCTCTTTGCAGGTATTCAAATTATTGACTTTAATATTTAATTTATATTTTAAGGTGGCGTAGGTTCTGCAGCGGTTCAAATATCAAAAACGATAAATGGAGTAAAAGTTTTTGGTACAGGATCCAAAATAAAAGAAACATTTGCAAAAGAAAATGGAGTGGACACATTCTACTGCATTGAAACATTTTCTGATGAAGTTCAAGATCAGAAGTTTGATTTAATTATATCAAATGAAAGTGGTGCTATGTTTACTTTTCTGCAGAGCCTTTTAAAACCTCTAGGAAGAATTATTTTATTAGGTATAAAAAATATTTTTACTTTTCTATTTAAGTTATTTTATTAAAAACAATGGAGAAGGCTGTTGATAATTATATTAGAATGAGTCTTTGAGAGGGTGCCACTCCACCACAGCCAGCACACGTACCGAGCAGAAAGATCTATAGAAATGGCCCTGGTACAGCTGACTGACGTAATCCAGGATGAAGTAGCACACAAAGAAACGGTCGTGTGTGCCTTCCTAGACATATAAGGTAGGGATGCGCAAAATTTTTGAAAACATCGATGTTGACATCAAATGATATATCGAATACACACTATCGATGTTGTAAAAATATCGGAAAAGAAAATATCGATATTTCTAAATATCGATGTTTGATTTTCCATACATCGATGTTGTCTGTAAACATCGATGTTTTTGCAAAAGCGTACATTGAAGAGAAAAAAAAAACCTCAACCGAAAAAGTACTACCCTAAACCTTCTCATACTAAAAGGGTTAAAAAGAAAATCATCCATATTGAAAAACATTGAAAAGAAAAACATCGATGTTGATAGAAAAATCGATGTTAACAAATAACATCGGATAAATAAAAATCGATGGTAACTAATAACATCGGATTAAAAAACATCGATGTTCAACATCGATAATCGAAACCTAAAAATCGATGTTTAAAAAACATCGATACATCGTGCGCATCCCTAATATAAGAAGCTTTTGACAATTCGCCACACGAATCTGTCAAAAGAGCACTTGCATACAGCGGAGTAGATAACATCACATCCAGATGGATGGCTCAGCTGCTAGGAGGAGGAGGAGGAGGAGTTCTATCTCTACTAATGTGGAACCTAACCATAGACGAACTTCTATATAGAATGATCAGGAACGGAGTAATCAGACGAAAGTCTACTTGTTTCAGGAGCAAAGATACCTGGAATATGCTCCAGGATGAAATGGTAAAGAAGTACAGTTTTGTGAAAAATTTCAAAAACACAGAGCTGGGCTGCAAAAAGGAATGGAGCCAAGAATCCATCGCGCTTGCAACCGAAAGACATGCTATTCAGTGGTATACGGATGGTTCCAAAACCAAAGAAGGAACTGGAATAGAAGTGTATGGGCCGAGAAGCAAGCACACCGAAAGCTTGGGGAAATACCCAAGCATTTTCTAGGCGGAAATTCACGCCATCCAGTTTAACATCGAGAGAAACTATTAGACAAGAGATTATCATCATGTCCGATAGCCAAGCAGCTGAGCTCTTACGTAATCAGCTCAAAAATGGTCTGGAGATGCCTAGAACAATTGAATAAGCTAGGCGAGAAAAATAGAGTTACTCTCACTTGGGTCCCGGGACATAACGAGATACAGGGTAACGAGATTGCAAATAATCTCGCAAGGAAAGTGGATCAAACACCCTTTGTGGGACCTGAGCCGTTCTGCAATATCAGTAGTAACATAATATTAGGAGAGATTAAAAAAGAATTGGGCAGTAGAAGAATCGATAATTGGGGCTGAGACAGGCTAAGATACTTTTGAGTGAATATAACCAGAAAAGATCGAAAGCTTGTATCTGTCTGAGCAAGAACAGGCTACGTATTGTAACATGGACTAAAAGTACACCTTAGTAAACTAAGAGTAGTAGAAAATAGTGAGTGCAGATTCTGTGAGGAGGAGGAGGACGAAACCTCCATTCACATTTTAACTGAATATTTAGCACTCCAGAATCCAAGGGCACTATACCTAGGAGCATATCAAATAGAAGACGGGGATTTATCTAACTTGCAGCTATTCCAAATCCAACATTTCCTTGAGAAGATAGGATTGGAAGGATTGGAAGGATTGGAAGGATCGTTCTAGGCATTGAGACATTTCATTGCTGCATTAGCGACAGAAGGGGGCATAATAGATCTTTTAGGTCGCAGTGTATTAACACCCCATCCCCAACATAACATATAATATTTTTCAGTTTTCCTGAATTCCATACAAATAAGAAAATTAATCTGAATTTATTTTTTAGGTGCAAATAATATGCTGCAACCGGCTCAAAATACGGATAGTTTAAAGACTGATTGTGATAGTGTTTCTTTAATGTCGCTTTTGATAAACAATAGAATTGTAGCAGGTTTACATTTAGGAATTCTTCTAGCTACAGATCCAGAGAAAGTTCATACCATTTTGGAACACATTTTTAAATTAATTGAGCAAAAAAAATTGAATCCTGTCATACATTCTGTATGGAAAGTATCCGAAATCGTTGAAGCTACGAAATTATTGGAAGACAGAAAAAATGTTGGGAAAGTTTTGATAAAAATAAGCAAGTAATAATTATTTTACTATTGTACAGTGCCTTGAGTCTATGTTTTGTCCTGAGTACATGTTTTGTACAGCCAAATAAGTACTGAATAGTTTTAAATTTGAAAAAAGTATATTGTACAGTTAGGTGATACATTTTTTGTATTTCTTATTATTCTTTTAATTCTAAAGCGAATAATTATTTTTTAAGTTACAATTATTTTTTATTAATAAGCCACTAAAAGCGACGATGAACTGCACTATTAGAAATTTTGTTATAAATAATTGAATTCAATTTTATTGTCCAAACTACAAACTTAGTTTGTCAATTATGTACTAATTTAATTCAAAACAATTGAAATAGCAAATCTGACTAAAAAAACATTATTAATAAAAAAAATTGATCTAACTCTAGTTATTGACAATTTTTTATAACAGTATTTTGAGAATATACAATACAATTATTATTAGGGTTAAAAACGGATATTAAAATTAATTTAGTTTAAAATCAACATATCGCTGCCTTAAAATTATAAGGTTCTGTGTTACATGACATGTGATATGAGAAAAACGGGTCTGAAGTTTAGCTTATTGTATATATTAGGATAATTAATTATTTTTGTCTCTTCACCTCTAAGTAAAGTAGAAAGTAACTACTTGCTGATTAAAATATAGGCTATTGTTCGCTAATATGTTAAGTAAATCCATGGCATTTGCTATATTTTTGCTGCAATGATTATAAGTTCCCATACCTCCATTTTGTGAAATATTATTCGTTTTCAAGTTAAGTTTTAATCCTTCAGGAATATCATTATGTTGTTCTAGGCCTTCCTCCGAAATGCTAAAGAATCTATAAAGTTTGGTGTTTTTAACATTTTGTTGAATTACTCTAACCTCAAATTTCAAATAACTTGTATCTTTCTTGTTTTTTTATCTGCATCAGAATCATAGCCAGTTTGTTCAAGTTCCTGTTCACTAGCACTTATTTCCTTGCATTAAAACTAACTCTTTACTAAAAAAATCTGCGTATAAGACGTATCAACTAACCTAATTTGATACAATACTCACCAAATTATATATGCCCTATTATTAGAAGATACTAAAGAGATATTGCAAATTTCTATAACGCCAGCCACAAATAGTAACATCGTAATTAAAGTCAAATAAATTCCATCCTAAAATCAGACTTATTGCAAACCTGAAATTTTGACATTAGATTCCTAGTCCTTATGCTTATTTCTAACCCATTTTAATAACTTTAAACTGAGTTCCAAAACTTGCTTCTTGTATGCTAAGTCATTTTTCAAAAATCTCAAAAAACCTTTGGTATGCTGAATTTTGCCATTTAAGCTTTTTACTTTTTTTTTTGGTTTATTGGAATGGCTTTTTTGTATATCCATGCAAGAGGAAAACTATTTTTCTTTAAAAACATAATGGCACTAATTACTTTTAATTTGCAAGGAACGAGTTTTGGAACTTTCCAGTGCAAGAAAACAGTTTGGAACTAACTTATCTGCAAGTAAACAGTTTTGTATCTTGCAGCTATTGAGTTGTTTGGTCGAAGGGTGGGAAAAAGGATGATTTATCAATAATTAATAAATAAATAAATAAATAGTAAAATATTTTATTCGTTAAAAATACTACTAATGATTAAAAAAAATGTCAAACTAAACTTAAAACTTAAAAAAATTATGTTTTAATGAAGATCGAAAAATATGACAAGGATCTGCCTCGTCATATTCTTAGATCTTCATTTTCTTCAAAATAGTTATTTTCTTCACCGTTACCATCCAAAATTTCACGATAAAAGTTTAAAGTTTCTATGTCTCGCCAGTCTGCTCCAAAATGTTTTTTAAGAAGTTTGTCTACGTCTGTCAATTTTTCGGGCTTTATGCTTACAGTGGAGGTTAATAGTTGTGGTTTAATCATTGCGAGTGTTTTCCCTTTTTTTAAAATGCCTTTGGGAACACCTAAGTCTGACCGATAGTGCTCCTCCCCTTGTAGCGATATATTTTCCTTCCTGTCTTTCTTGATAATTATTCGTTTGCTTGGTGCAAACTTGAAATGTAGGCCACCTGCTGATTTTAACACAGATGAAACTTCAAGTTTCCAGTTCGCAACAGCAACTTCTTCAGTGACTTTTCGCACTGTTCCAAAATCTGAAAAAATGTTCAGGTATTCTTGTGGGTCAATCAAAGTATCGACTTTTCTAATTTTCTTTTCTATGCGACCAAAGACTCTGTCTGCCGGTAAAAACGAATGTCCAACAATAGGAAACACCATTGTTATCTTATTCACGTCAGTCTCTGTATTTGATAACCACTGGCACAACATACCAGTTACAGTCATATTCTTGTTCTGACCAGGGCAACCGTCGCAGAACAGTTTTATCTCCTGCACATTCGTCAAGTCAAGGTGGTGAAAGATAATTGAAGCTATCTCATTGGATCCCTTCAAACGCTCATGTTCACACCACGAGTACATAAACACTGAGTCTTTATTTTGGGCGCTTCGTGAATCACCAACACATATGGTGAAATTGTACAGATACAATTGCCTACTGTAGTAAGCTGCTTGGTCAGGAACACGGGGTAGAGCAAGATATTTTTGGCAGTCAAATGATAATTTCATGACAGTTGGTTCCTCTACTTTTTTTAACATGTCAGAGAAACACTTTGATTTCATTTTATGAACAGTTAACTGTGCCATTAGTTCTGTCTTGTTTCTACCTGGTGGCGTTACAGAAATCTTGCATCGGAGACTAATGCAAGTAGAACATGCATCAGTTGCAGGACTTTTGAAACTGATGTTGTAGTCAAAATTAAAGACATGCAAAAAGAAAGAGTACTTCACTTTTTTCTCTGGGTCAACTCCTTGATTATACTGCTTCCATAATGCACGTACATTGCAATCACTCGGTAGGTAGCGTCTCAAACTTTTTTCCCTTGTGTAATGGGATTCGGCAAACTGCAGCTGGCTGAAGAAGTTCTTAAGGCTCTGTCTAATTTCTGTGAATTTAGCAGAGCGATGATCACCACCTCGTTTCTCTTTCGGACATTTTCCATCTCGTAAAAATTTTTTGCAGATGTTTTGAATCCTGAACTTTGATATGCCCAAAATACTCAGAAACGCCTTTTGACAAACCTGGAAACAAAAAATGGCATATGAATGCATTGAAAATGTTCTATAGGCTCAGTATTATAATGTTTCCGTATAAGTACCTAGTACCATAGTTGAAAACATGAAAAAAATCTTTGTTACCTACCTGTATTCTTCTTTTGTTTTTGGTGGGTATAAAGTATCTGATAACAACTTGTGTTGATCTTTTGTCAATTTGAATCCTTTTGGGCGATTCTTGCTCTGTATACTTGAGGATAAAAACATCTTGATCCGATTTGGAGACATTAGAATAAAATCTTTCATGGAATCTGCGAATGTCTTGCATACCAAGTTCTTCACAATTGTAGACTTTCTTTTTATCGTGACTGCAGTTTGGCTTTTGTGGAAGAGCCTTGGCCTTGTATTTGTAATGTTTAAAAACAGTAACCATAATAAAGTTTTTATTTAATACTAAATAATAGAAATTTAATTACGTCCAAAATCAGAATAGGCACTGAGCATAGTTAATTTTTTAATGCATACTCTTACCTTTTAAGTTTAGTAGTGTTTTTTTTTCCACTTTTCAGGCTGGCGCTTTCTTTTTCTGGTGCGGTTCGGTTCTTCCATTAAAGAAACTTATATAATATTACTAATAATCACCAAAAAGCAAAATTTTATTTAAAGAGAGAGGTTTTAAAACTACACAAAAAAATAAAGAAATCGACACAGAGATACCACGAAATTAGGTTATGGTTGCAAGGAGCGAGTTTTGTTCTGTTCCACGCAAGGAAGCAGTTTTGTTACTCAACTGTCAGTGCAAGGAAAGAGTTTTGGAACTAACTTCTACTTTCAGATGCTAAAAACAGGGAGAAGAAGAGAGTTCTGTTTATTTTTCACCTGTTTAACTGAAACAGAGAGGTTATATCTGTCAAAAGTGACCACCACCTCATTTTTTTAAATCTATGCAAGAAGCGAGTTTTGGAACTCATCTCCTCAACTATAGTTCATCTTTTTTGTTGTCTATAATAGTACATAATATTGAAGAGGCATTAGAAATTATGATTTTAGAAGGTTTAGATGACGATTATATTAAATATTTAATATCAAAAAACTTCGAACGGATATGAATGTCGGCGAGCGCACCCGAAAGCTATAAAGTCTCCACTACTTGTTGCCTTTAAACATCCACAAATAAGGACAGGCACAATCTTTAATAAAGTCAGTGTTTAACGTGTAATACGCCAATTATTTTTCAAACAAAAAAATATTGTTTAAATTAGAGAAATAAAAATTTATTCACTTTAAATATTTAAATACAAAAGAAAAATATTAACCGATTAGCTTTAGGGTTTTAGTAATAGTGTTCCTCGACCCAACAAAGAAGGGTCGCAGGTACTTTTAAAGTCTAGTTCCTCTCGCTTCTCAGATTCGGGCAAAGACACCCTGGCGGCGATGCCACGTCTTCTTCTGGTACGGCACGGTAGAGTGTTGTAGACATCTACATTCAAGAGATTGAACAGTCAGTTTTAGAACATAAACGATCTGCGCATGCTTAGATGTCAAAATAAGAGGGGCACTAATAGTGACTGACCTTAAGCGAACTTGCAATAACTCTCTATTGTTAACTTGGCTTATTTATTAACGACTAGCGGTGGAAATGGACCTTGGTAAAATAGTAAAATTAAAATTTTTCATTAATTTTTCTGATTATGATTAACAGTTATTAGATTAGTTAATAAAACTCGTTCATAAACTTATTTCCACAACATTTTCTAACATAAAAGACCTTGAAATCATGACCGTATTTAAGATTCCAGTGATGTATTGTCTTAGCAGGATAGAAAAGAGAATATGCCATTTATTAGTTACACATATAAAGTTTGCTTCTCCCATTTTAACGAATAGCTGTTTTCTTGGAAAAATGACTGTAT